TACTATATATATATATATATATATATATATATATATATATATATATCCATTCGAGGAGATGAATAAGTTGGTTCTGTCCACTTCTCTTGCTAGATAGTCAGCCAATTTGTTTGATTCTCTCCAAGATTTCACCAAAGATGTATTATAATCTCCAAGGACTGCTTCGAGGACTTTAGGCCAAGATATGGTGTAGGTTGTATCCCCTTTAACTAGCATTGATCCCTAGCTGTACTAGTAGATCCTGTTGGTAGTTGGAGTTAGAGATAATGGCAGGTCTGGAAATTGCTGTTACTCTGTGGAAGCACTCACTTATTTATTAATATCTCACAAAATACAATGTTTTTGAGTTGAAAATTTGTGTACCTAAATTAGGCTTACTTTCCTTTCAGTGTTCGAAATTTTACTTAGTTCGGTTGTACTGTCATGAAGAACCAACTCACTCAAGTTCCACATTTTCTGCTGCCTGCAAAATAGTGACACATACAATAGCTCCAAGATATCCCTCTCTCAGCCTTTCTTAGCATAACTTTTTGCTTGTAAATCCAATTTGGGCATATGACAACTCATTGGGAAGCTAGCAATGAGCTCTAAAGTAGGAAGAAGGCCTCCAAAATCCTTAAATGGCTTTCGAATTGAGGAGCTCTTCCTTTTCATTAGTGATGATATTTTCACAATAATGATCTTTTAATCACTGCGTTGGATACTTTGGCTACAGGGCTTTGAGGTTTGAATAGTTTCAGGATTCTGTTTTTGAACAAGTGAAGATTTGGGCCATGGCAAAAGGGTAATGATAAATAAAGGCTACTTTGGTTCTAAGGGTGGCAACTGGTCGGGTCGGGTCAGGTATGGGTCTAGAAATAAACTAAAAAACTGTATTTCATATATTTTATAAAATATAGTCAACATTAGTTTTAATTTATTTTATACTTGGTTATACTGGGTTGGGTTGGGTCGACCCCGACATTACTTGATAGGGTTGAAGCCGGACCCAACCCGTTGGGTCCAATGCCTGGACTTGGACCCGGACCAGTTCAGGTTGGTCCGTCAGGGTGGCGGGTCGACTGAACCTGGTTACCTATCCTATTTGAGTCTCTCTGATGGCCCAATGTGGAGCGAGGAGACCACAGATGTGGTGTTTTGCACGTGATGGGGTTTCGCCATGGCTAAATCCAAAGGTTTTGCTTGATGGCCAAAGTGGTTTGCCATTAAAAAGTAGTGGCTCCTCATTTGTCTTAATTATGTTTTCTGCTTTTTCATCAATTTGTCTTTCATGAAATCCTTCAGGACATGTGATTCATGAGTTTTAAGGTTTCAATCATAGTTGGCAGATTATTGGTCCTTCTAGTCAGGTTATATTGGTCTTTTGTAGCTGATGATTATTGCTTAGCGCAATATTTGATTCTTTAGAACCAAATAACTTTTCTGACATTTCCAGTACCATGTGACATTTCTTTCAGATAATAGTATTTCATGTTTAATTTAAGGGAGCATTGTAATTTATCATAGATATTACTTGTATTATAAATGGCACGAATACAGAAAGTGCCATAATTCTAAAACAAGCACTTAGATTTTTTGTCAACCTCCATATTGTACATTGTGAAACACACATAAGAATCTGGTTTCTAGGGTGATTGAGGCATTTCTGCTGGTACTTCACACTTTATAGCCCTTTAATACTCTCTGTTATTGATGTGAGGTTGGCAGCAGAGTAAGTTCTTTGAACTTCAAATATGTATTTTAATCTTCTTGGGGTGCCTCCTCTTTTTTGGTAATTAACTAAAACTGAAAGATTCTTTGTGAAACTCCTCAATCATGGACTTGTATCCTATTTTGTTTTTTAAATTTGCTTGAGGGGTGCACCTTATGTTGCTTTTGTTCATTTTAACCTCCTTCCAGCATGGGAGCCTTTCAGAGATTTCATTCCACAAGAAGAGAGGAGTTGTTTCATTCATGCCTATAGCAAAAGGCTGAATTCGAAGGATCTTGAGGAACAGGTAGGTTCCATGAGTTTAGCTCTGCACTTTAGTTATTACTTATCTATAAGAGTTTGTGAATTTGCTTGTTTTCTAGATATAGATAGGTGATTATACTCAGTTTCTGCTCTCTTATTTTGGTTCTTTTATTACTTAATGTTATTGCACGTGGTTTTCTCTCTTTCTAGTCAGATTCAGATTTGCTAGAAATCAACTACAAACTACAAAAAGAAAGTAGGGTTTCCATATGGAACTATTCAAAGTTTCAGAGTATTGATCTAAAAACACAATGCATCTAGCATGGAATACATCAGATTAAATGCAGTTATGTAAACTTGCATTTGGAAAAGAATTTCTATGATCCAAAGCTAGTTCCATTTCTTCAGGTGTATGGGGAGGGGTGCGCATGTGAATATGAACAGTTCATGCCTTTGGAGATTGGATAGAGAAGGAAAATGGATTGTCTCTCAATATTTGTAGACATAGGAGATAAACATGCTCCTTTTAAGACGATGCGATTTTATTTCTAAATGGATTGAGAATCCATGGGACTACGACCTCTATTTGAAAGCCATAGAGCACATGTTATGGTCATGTTCTTCATAAGGGAGGAGCACATGTTCTGGGCACATGGCAGAGATACTAAAAACCATGAACACCAAGAGGGGGGGAGGGAGAGAGAGAATAAAGTCATGAACACCGAGGAAAGAGAGACTAAATTCATGGATTCCAAGAAGTGAGAGAGAGAGCGAGAAAGAGACTAAGTCATGGATGCCAAGGAAAGAGAGAGAGACTAAAAGTCATGGACACTGAGGAAAGAGAGAGAGACTAAATTCATGGATGCCAAGAAATGAGAGAGAGAGAGAGAGAGGACGTGCGAAATGAGCAGTACACCTTCTGAAAGACAACAGGTAAGTTGACTGTGTATGCCTTAACACTGTAAGGCTGTACATGCAAAAATTACATAGTGTACTGAATATAGCTTTGGGACTACCCTTTTACTAATAGGTCATTAAGCTCTTTAAAAATGATCTCAGACATTAAAAAAGAAAAACAGACATTTTCAATTGATTCACTATACTGCAGTTTCAATGCCTAAATAGGCTAAAATGCAAACATGTATGTGATCATTATGCTAGATAAGGTTAGGGAGGTTTGGATTTAGGGGCAAAAAGCTGTTGAGATTGGGGGCTAGTACACCTGCATTGCTTCACAATATCTATTGCAGAATTTCTTAGAAAGCACAATATGTGTGAGAATTTTTTGCTGTGATACAACTAATTAGGGTGTATATTGGTTGATCCAGGTACAGTTGGTTCAAATGTCGGACCCAGAATCGCTAAGAATGGGATCCACCCAAACTGAGGGGTTTGGTCAGTGCAGATGCAATCTGGTTATTTTTCCTTTTTTCTTTTTTTGTGTTAGCTGTTTCCATTGTGGATAGATTTGGGCACTCGCATTTATAATTATCTACCCGATTTGTTTGATTCTGCCACCCAAGACATTGGTGGCAACAACGCTAAGGAATTGATTTGGCCACCCACAGTGGGTGGATTATTGAAAAAGTGGGAGGGAGGGAGGGACTAAATTTAACCCCTTTATTTTTTTGAACGAGGGACAGTTGAGAGGGGACCCCATTTGCAAGCTTCCATCTTATGGTACGTGTCAGTTTAAAAGATGACATTAATGTGGTGATCTCTTTGGCTGAGATGCTAGCGTTTTGACTCGATCTACAATTAGATTTGCCCAAGATAAGGCATGTTATGTTACGAGCTAATTACCTACATAGCCAATTTCAGGTTGAAAACCTCATGGTGGTCATTGGAAGAAAGAAACCCAAAATGGCTAAAATGCTCACGTGTCAAAAAGTAGCAAGATTTTTGAGATGTAGCTACAACGCCAAAGAGGGAAGCTCAGGTTTGTCATGACGACCAATGGAAGAAAGAATCTTAAGATTGATCATGATGCTCACGTGTTGCAGAGTGTAGTAAGATTCGCCAGCTAAGCTTCTATATGACAAACAATATCACTGGAAGACGCGAGCTAGTGTCTAGGACCGATAATTGCAGACCATCCGATCTTGATGTAAGATGGATATGCTATGTGGCACAGGTGTTTCAGTAGCATGCCGTATAGCATCCAAAAAATTGGCCAAGTGTACTAAATCAAAAGTGCCATCAAGGCGACAACACCGGCAACGGTAGCTCATCCTTCGCTGCAGCGCCCATATTTAGCATGATTTAGTTCCCTGGGGCGTTGGTCGTTGGCCACCCAGCAATGTCCAAATATAGCAGAAACAGGTCTTATTAACGCCACAGTCTCAGCCAAGGTACTCGTCCCTTGGCCTAGGCAAGCTATTAGGGCGAGTCCAAGTAACTCGCCTGAGTGCAGCCCAAATTAAAAAAAGAAAAGAAAGGTTATATATATAAATAGATATAACATTCCCCTCTTCTTACAAGATGATTGGAAAGGCTTCTTGGTGAGACTGTTTGTTGTCCTTGCACAAGGTTGAGTGACCAAATCAATGTGTGTGCGTTATTTTTGAACACCTTAAAGAGAACATGATATATATATATATATACTTTATATACCTGTTTCTTACAATAACATTGAAAGGGCCATGGTTGTCGTGCGATTGCGTTCCCATGAGCGGGAGCTGGCTTGGGTCTGCAGAACCGTGAATTGCTAGAAGCTCCTTATGGTTAGGATCATCGTTCGTACGATCCTATAGGAAGGGAGAATGATCCTTGACTCAGGGGAGTGCGATTCCATGAGGAAGGAATCGCAATAGTAAGTTTTAAGGGATCGTGAATGATGCGTGGGTTCACAGTACCATAGGGTACAAACCTGAATCAGGCATATAAATCAGTGCCGACTAGAGAAAACATCATATGCACTGCATCATTCACTTGAAAACTATGGTTCAAACCTTCTGGAAACAAGGATCACAATATAGGGATTTGTGTTCCATCCAAGATCCCTAGCTGGAATCCTGGGATTGAGGTTCCGGAGTGGGTGCGTGACCTTTCCTACAAGGTTCCAACAACTATGGAAAGGGCATCTTGGTTTGATTGTGTGACCTCTTTACACAAGGTCAAGGGATCCATTCAAAGCATGCTTATTTTTTGAACCACTTTTAAAAAAGAGTAGCTTTATGTTCTTGACGGGGTTTGGACTTCGAACATGAGGTCCAAGAAAAAAAAAAACTAATCAAAAAGGCATTTTGAGATCTTACGAACAGAAATACGCATAATAATATTTATATTATATGTGTGCACCTACCTCAATTAAAACTCGCTCGCCCCAAGTGCGAGTCCGAGTAACTCAATGAATCCAAATGGACTCGTATGAGTCACAAAACAGTGGTCTCAGCAATGCCAAGGCTCGGCATCATCAAGTTCTAGCAGTGCCAATTAGACCACAATGCCTGCCAGATTGTTGCGACCTCTGCCATCAGCTGCCTAGCAGCATCTTGGATTTTGAATTCAGCATCGCCTGTCCTAGAACTTTGTCTTGTGGAAGCAATGATTCTCAGTAGGGGCGTCCTTGGTCTTCAGCAGTCCAGCATCGCCACTTTGCTAGCATTCTCTCCTCAGTCTTCAGCTTTCAATGGTACCAATTTGCCAGCAATGACCCCTATATAGCAAGGCTGTTTACAGAAGCACTGCTTGGACCCTCCATTAGTGAATGACACGTGCTTACTGTTAATACATAGCAACATCTTACCAAAAAAATATACATGGTAACAGCTTGACGATACACCACATGTCAATTTGAGTGTGACCTAACACTTTCCATTAGTGTTCCGTGACCAGACACATACATGGTCCGAGTTACTCGGAGTCGCCCTTAGGGAGAGGTGAGTTTTACCCAAGACGTGTACACATATTATAATAGTTATGGAACTAAGACTAAGGTACAACACTGGATATTTCCACGTGATTTTACACACAATTACATGATATGACAGCTTCTGCCTCAAATTACAGCCACATAAAATCAAATTACATGCACTCAAAATACATCCATACAATCTTAAAACGAAGGATTAGAGCTCAATTTGGGTCCCTTGACAAAAATCCAACAAAATTATGTATGGAGATTGAGTATAAAACCATAAAACTAGTGCTTATTAAATTTCAGCACTACACAGCAAGGCAAACTTATACATGAATTTCAATTACAAGACTCAATAAATCTCAATCTCCATATTACAAACACATTAATGCTCAAGTACTGAATGAAACATGATCATGGGAGGCATTTAAGAGCTCTAAGTGCCCGGTTACTGCCAAGGTCTTATCAATATACTATAAAGTGTGACTTATGATGGCAATTCACAACTTATGGCCAATTTCAGTTCATCATCACAATGTGAAGCATGAATAACATCTTTCAGAAAAATAGGATCTAATTGTGGGAAAAATCGTGGAAGAGATGGAGGCTCAAAATCTCATCAACTAGGTAGAAACTTAAGAGGCTTGGCATGGGAAAAATTTGGCATAGTTTCCATTTGTAAAATCTCCAAATTAAGTAATCAAAAAGATGATTTTATTAAGTGATTTAGATCCCAAATTTCTATAAAAAATCAGTGGATTAAATCCTAAAAATCTCAATAAAAATTCTACAAAAATCAACCCAATCAACTAGAGATCATAGCCTTACACTTATAGATCAAATTTAGCTCTTTTCTATATCAATATAAGACTATGGGATAGTAGCACCGTGTTGTAAATTGTAATACAAAACCATGAATCGCTTGAAGGTTGAGTAAAATTGAATAAGATCTCACACAATTTGAACATCATGGAGCTTTATGATCGCCCTCAAGCTTAGAATGGAGCTTTAATGGAGCTCCTAGCTTAATTTTCTCATTAAGATCATTTCACTATAAACAACACACTAAAACACATGCGAACGAGAGAGAGACAGGGAGTAGGCTTGGGCGTGCCATTCTAGAGAGAAAAGAGTACTTATTTTGAGTTAGTGAAGGGGTATAGGCATGAGTGTAGAGATGCTTCTAGATGAGTTAATCTTGGCCATTCATGTCAATCATCTATGTCATAAGAGAGAGGCTTGATTCTACCACTCATCACTCATCGTGTCATCTTGATTAGTGGATGATATTCAATGCTCTTAACCTCCCATAAATCCCTAATTCATTTCAAATTAATATTAAATTCAACATGCTTCCATAAATGCCAATGCTTAATCGTTTTAATCAAATTAAACAGCATAGATAGGGGTTTGCCCTTATGGTATTTAGCACAAATTCGAGAAGCAATTTGAATTTAATTTTCCCTTCAATTTTGGTATGCATGGTCATCCAATTATATGATGCCACATAGGATAAGTGGTTATGTGCACAATTACATATGGCCTTAGGGTGTCAACCATAATTGCAAACCCTATGCCCCCCTTTCTAGAAGCTTTTCCCATAGATACTCAACCAACAATCAAACACATTAAATATGTGCTTTAAAAGAATATCCAATTTTTGACAAACTACAAAACATCTCTTAAAATAAGAGCATATAACACACTAATCAAAAAATGACAAAGGGGGTCCCTATGGGGTTGATGTCATCCCCACTTTGTTTCCATGTGGAGCTGATGTGGACCCCACATGGGCCCACGTGGCACCCTTGGCCACTTGAGGTCACATGTGGGACCCTAGTGGCTTGTCCTTTGTCATTTCACAAAAACAATTCTAGAACAACCCATTTTTGGCTCAAAATAATTCAAAAAATTCTTTAGAAATTCCCAATTATTCACCAAAGCTTATTCCATCAAAATAACACAATTTTGTTGGCATCATTTAAAAAATATTAATGAGGGAAATTAGGTTCCTATGGAAATGAATTGACTATTGGAGTATTCCACTCAGCTAGACACGGAATCCAAGGTCACCTTCTCATAATGACCCAATTAGCTCATGACCCACACTATCAAGCAAGGGCTCATGTGCTAGCTCATCAAAGTCAAACCAATGTGTGGCTCGAGATGCTTAAGTCATAGTGGATGGCAGGTGCACCCCTGAAGACATGCACTTTAGTTGATGTGGGTGTCCTATCCCCGCCCATGTGCATATCTCCTCTCAATGGATCAGGTGGAAGAGTAGCTTCCCATTTGCGATTATACATGCACATGCCATGAGAAGGTCACTAGGTCAAGGATTTAGGCTTATAGCCTCTCAATGCCTTAACCTCCTCATACAGTGCTAAGAAACAGGAGCTCATATCACAATCAATCACGCACACATAATGCCCTGGCTATCTTGCAGTCGTGAGGCATAAATCATAACCATCCTTGATTAATGGTAACCCTCAACCCTCTTGGTGCTTCTCACCTATACTCTAGCATCATGACTCACGGGGTTCATGACTCTTGGTCCCAGTGCGCCATGCTGCCGAGATTTTGGAGTTAAATGGTACAATTTGAATTTTTCTCAACTTTATCCCTGTTGTATGACAAGACATGTTGTATGACAAGACGTGTTGTGAATAAGGGAACTTATATTATGTCCGAAACTTTGTAGAGTTATCATATTTTAAAGGATAATTGACATGATGACTATGGAATTAGCGCTATATGGAAGATGGACATTAATGTATTGATGGACATAGGTAGGTTGGTAATTTTTTTGTTAGTGTTGGTTTCTTTATAGAACTTCTTATATTGCGTAGATTTTTTAGGGCCTGTTTGGATGACAATTAATTTTATCTAGAATGGATTATCATATTTAAAATTAGAAAAAAAAATTAATACACTCAGGATAATTTTATTTTATTAGTTATTTGGTACATATAATGTATTAGGTATAATGTTATTTAGTTATTTAAACTGCCTATAAGTTTGTCTCAGATAATTTAATGGTGGGCACTGCCAAACTACAAGATAATTCATTATCAGGATTAATTTTTATGAAGTAGTGAATTATCAGTGATAACAAATCCATCCAAATAGGCCATTAGAGATTTTTCTGGTGCATATTTTATATCGATTTTGGGCGCTGACTTTTCAAAGATAGTTAGCATTGGGTAGTATATGGAGTTGCCTCTTCCCTTCTGGGTTTTTCTTTTCACATAAAGAGGTTTCTAAAGAGGGAACAATTAGAGAGAAGAGCAAATGAGAGGCAATGTAGTCCTCTTAGGTTTAGATATTTTTAGTTTTTATTTTTTACCAGGAGCTTTTTTCTGACATTTATATTGTGTTTTAATGTTTTTGCTTCAGTTTAAAATCTGAAAAGTGTAAGATTGAGATCCTTTTTGAGCTTTGTGAATTCCGCACCATCCAGTGTGTGTTTCCAACAAGAGCCAGATTTAGACACGGTGTGAAGGTTATTTCACTAATTGTTTCGTCCTGCTGAACAACCATATTAGCATAATGCTTCCTGAAATGTTCCTCAATATTTGAACATAAAACGGTTTCCTATTTCAATTCTAGAATAGTTGCCATAGTCTGAGCAGGATGATTTCCTGACCATAGTTTTTTCGTTACACGGCATCATTTGGGTTTGCCTTGTTGAGAAGTTGGCAGCATGGTTTTCCAACCATTGTTTCCTAAGCCCTTCCATTTCTTGTCTGATTTCACACCATTTCCTTGTTACCTTTGAGCTGTAGCATTTAACGTGCTAATTCTGAGTGTCATGGTCTTGAGACACTAGCATTATGAAAAACCCTTCTTTCCCTGAATTTAGGGATTCAGTTAAGGAGAAAGAGATTCCAGGCTTTAGCTTTGTTCCAGCTAGTTGCCCACTATATGCAAGTATAGTGGGTGGGTGTTAGTTTAGACCTACAATTTCTGTTTGTTGTTTGCTTAGGTTTTTGTCTTGCAAGTTTCACTCATGTTATTTATTTGTGGAAGATCCAGTTTATGGCATCTCAGTTAATGCCATTGATTTAAGTACTAATACATACGAAGCTTAAATTTTAAGTTTTGGAGGAGATGCATGATCACCTGATTGGCAACTGAGCAGCGTTCATACAGACTAGAGGATTTATGCAATATGAGAAAAGATGGAGGGAGGGTAGTTATTAACTATTAGGGTCTTTACTTGGTTAATCTTGGGGGTTAGTGTTACTTCTTTTGCTTTTATGCCCCAGGACAAGGTGATCCTTGTGTTCTCACTTGTTAAAATTGGTAGAGGAGTTCATGGATCCAATTGGCATTGGAATGGTTCTATGCCTGGTTAAGTTTTTATTTTTCCTGAAGGGGGAGTGGAGTAACATATCTGGATTGCACGGATGACTCACGATGGTAAAATAATATTCACAATGATATGAAAAATGTGCTGCCCAAACTTTGTGAAAGAAATGATGAATGATACGCTCCAATATTTCCCGTCAAACTAGAAATGTGAAATAGATGACCAGCTCATGCTTCCTTTATAGCTACTTATAGCTATGTGTTCTATTGTTATGCTTTCTTTTAATGCCCCCTAATGTTGAATTGGGTAAGATCTGAGTCACTATTCCTGTGATTAACTGTATACTTTTTTTATTCCTCATCTATATAACAATGCTTCCTTTCCACCATATAAAATTTCTGAGGAAATGAATATTTTCTGCATAAGAAAAACTAAGTTTTTTGCAACTTCCAATTGTTCAGGGTGTTTTGATTCCTGTGCTAGACAGAAAATCGCTCCTTAGAGGGCTGCTACCACATTGCTTGCGTAGCATAGAATTATGTTCCAATTGTTTACGGTTTTTAGCAACTTCAAATTGTTTAGGGTGCTTGATTTGCCAGCCTCAAGCATGTACAATTTCCGTCTTGGCTTTCTTCTAGTAGGTCAATTGTCATGTCCTTTTTAAACCATATCCAGAATTGTTAGATGTAATACCTACCCAAGAGAAAAGAGCCTGAGTCTTATGCTTTTTGGTTATTTACAAACATGCACGATCACTGGAAACCTGGAGTTGTCTTTTCTTAAATAACTTAGTTTTTCACAAATATGTTTCTCTGTAAAATTTACTGCACATTATTTGTAATAATCAAAGCCCATGTTATCATTTAATGTCATTTCAATGAAGCTGCATTAGGATTTTATTTTCCTGAATTGTTGGTTTATAACTATGTAATTGCCCATTTCAGATAAAGGCTGCTAAAATTTGGACCAATTGGGAAATGATGACTGCACACCTTCTTCCTAATGAAGAGAACAGTAAAAGAGGAGACGATGAAAACTTTTCACTGGTAAGTTGTTGAACTATCACATCTAATTTTCCATACATTGTGGTTTGACAGCTGCTTTGGATACTTCGAATTCCAATTTTATGATTTTTAGACCAAGAAATGAATGATATGACAAAGCACCCAGAGGGAGACAAGAAATTGACAGCTCTATATGTCTTGTACTTCGGTCCCGTGTTGAATGGGATTGAGATCATTGCTAAATGTGATCCAAATCCTATGTAATCAGAAGTGAGCTCCCAGGGAATTTTCGCTCCAGGAACGCAGAACTGTGTTCTTGGAGTAGTAACCACCCCGACAGATGGTGCTCCCCATAACTATGCTCTCTTACTCATAATTGAATTGGTTGTATAAAAGAAGTTCTCCCCCCACCCCCCTGAATTGGCTGTATCAAAAATGTTCATGTCCACAAGACCCTGTTGTCACAGGCACCATTAAATAGCATGTATACAAACAGGCCGTGGAATCCTCTTTCCCTCGCACTACCTATACCTACTCATCTTCGCTAGATCTGACATTCTGTATTTTCATATGGTTGGATTCTTTATCTTTTGTTTAATCGGTTTATTCAGAATGTTTAATGCCCTCCCTGATCCTTGTATTACATCTTGAGGCAAGCAGCCGGCATCCTTGATCAATGCATATATTGTATTACCTATTTATGCATCGTTAGTAAGGGACTGCTTGGTTATAAATAGAATATTTATTATCAGCATTGCACATTACACATTATGTTTATTTCTTGGCAGGCATTTGCACGGATTGAAAATCATTATTTTGTGAACAAGGGTTTTCTTCCTTCAGAGACATTCTTACTGGATGGCATTGATAAAATAAGACATATTACAACCGTAATTGTGCAGGTAATTTTTAGTTTTGTTAATTACCTTCATTTAGTTGATATGATTAAGTTTTGAGTTGTTAGGGAAAGTGTAATAATAATCCATTGGATCATCACCGTCTCCATCACCATCGGTCATTTCATTGATTCATGATGACCCCAATGGATTAAGCTTTTTGTGGTCTACTGGACTACTCTATATTTCTTTCTACTCAATTTGATATGTATAACTAGAACTGTTTTGAACTGAAAATTCAGGGAAGATATGATGTTTGCTGCCCTATGACATCAGCATGGGATCTTCATAAAGCATGGCCAGAGGCACAATTTGAGGTCAGAACCCTTTTTACTGTGTCATGGCATCCAACTGTGGTCACCTGTTTCTTTTGAATTGCATGCTTTTCTGTATTATAGGAGCTATCATCGAGTAGTGGTAAACAAATAATTATATAGGAAACAAACTACAACTAAATTTTTATAAATAAGAAACAAAGTAAAAAATTAGTACCAAATAGGATTCAACACATATATTGGTAATTATCTTTCAAATGTATTTAAAAAAAGGAAAAACTGTGTATAAGGATGCTACCTTATAATGTAGAACTACGGATGCCCCCTCAAAAATCCATCGGAAAAGGTAGTTTTAATGTTGAAAAACCCTTTGATTTCTCATCTCGACATTGCGATGTATGACTATGAAAGATAAAAAGATTTTAAGTCTCAGAAATAGTGCATTTTACAACATATTATCTACACCGTCCATTTTCAAGATTTTCATATGTTTATAGATCTACTTGATTTTAAGCATTTTTTAAATTTAAAATTTTATAATTAGCTATAAAAATAGATTTTGAGATAATCCTAAGAACATTTTACATCAAAATTATATACCATGATAAAATTTGAAGGTGCACCTTACCTCTACACCTGCGGATGCATCCGTATGCCAACTGTACCCTTAAAAAAAAACTATTGGTCTATCAAAACATCACTGCATGTATAACTGCAGATGTATAATTGTGAACATGTATGAACAATGATTTCATAGTGTTTGATCTATATGAATAGGACTAAAAGATACCAACATAATCATTTTTTTTTTTTTGAAGTTAGAAGTTAATATTAATTCGTGGCCTCTCATCTAGATACTTAATTTCTATAACAATTTCTGAAGTGCACAGATACTGCATATATCCTCAACAAAATCTTAAACACATGCTTGCCACAAAACCTTCATTCTAGAGTTCTGTGATATTATTTATACATGGAAAGAGTTTTGGTGCTTCTGAGGTCAAAGACTCAAAACACCATGGCAAGGTATTATTATTATTATTATTATTATTATTATTATTATTTTGGGGTTGGGGATGAACTTGACTGTACTGTACTTAAATTGAATAAACATCACATAGTGTTAATCTACGTGCATGACCTTATACAGAGTAAAAAGAAGGGATATTAGTTCCATTAACAAGTGTGCTATCGCAAGAAATTATTATGTATGGTCTTGCCTACTATGGGTGATCTGAGAGTAACTGTATTCCTGTTAAGCCTCCTCTGTCCAGGCCATCCGCAATGCTGTTGGCTTCACGCCAAACATGCTGAAATGAGACAACTAGCAATCCACTCTGCGAAAATTTTCTCAAATATTTGGTCTGGTCTCCACGGACTAATAGATCTCCTGTTAGCCCAATTGATGATGTTTTGAGTCAGGGAACACGCTTCAGCCTCATATGAGGTGAGGATGCCAATGGGCCCTGAGAATGACAAGATTATGGTGCATTCCTGTTCCTGAAGATGCCTCCAATCCCTGCCCTACGAGGATTACCAAGGGAGCCCCCATTGGCATTCAGTTTGATGGTGACTGGCTATGGAGCTGGCCAAACGGACAACCTTGTGATGGTTGTTCGTTTGGTTCTTCCCAGGGCTTCCGAGTTTAGAACGAAGTCTGAGGTGGCATGCTCTCTGAATCTCTTGACTTGTCTCGCCCATCCTTCAAAAATACTTGTATTACTTTGGATATTCCATGAGAGGGCCAGCTCAGAAGTCCTCCAAAAGATTGAACCAACCTTAGTCAGAGGAAGGGAAAAGCAGGCCTAAAAAGGTTGTTGCACTGTTTCTTGCGTAACCCACTCACCTCCCAACACTCGCAGTAGACAGCCCAGATATATGTCACTTAAGGACAGTGGAGGAAGATATGGTTGTCTGACTCTTCACTCTCCCTGCAAAGGATACAACAATTAGGCATAGCAAGTGTCATTGTTGTAGTTGATCCACTGTGAGGATCTTCTTCTGTAAGGCGAACCCTCTGAAAATTTGGATCTTCGGAGGAGCTGGAGAGAACCAAGCTGTGGAGGTGATCAATTGGGCAATAGGTTCATCCTGTATGACAGAGTAGAAAGATGTCACACTAAAAATACCCGACGAAGTGGGGCTCCATTATAGCCTATCTGAGGTTCTTCTTCTGTAAGGCGAGCCCTCTGAAAATTTGGATCTTCGGAGGAGCTGGAGAGAACCAAGCCGTGGAGGTGATCAATTGGCCAATACGTTCATCTTGTATGACAGAGTAGAAAGATGTCACACTAAAAATACCCGATGAAGTGGGGCTCCATTATGGCCTATCTCATTCTTGACCAGGTGGGAAGAAAGCCTGCAAGCAAGAGAGCAATTGATTGCTCAACAGCAGTTCATAGTCATTACGGGCTCTTCTAAATGTGGGTGTCCAAACCAGAGAGCCTCATAGGAGTCATGTGACATCCACTATACTGTAAATTTGAGCCGAACGGATCGTAAAAAGGGATCTGAACTGCTTTTGACAATTTGCTTATTTATTGTTGTACTTTTGCAAGATCCACAACTCTCAAGCACCATATATATATATATATATATGGGAAATGCTAGCATAGGCTAGTGGGCCTACAACTATCTATCAGAATCTAGGCTGATCTGATGGACATGACCTCATTTTGTACTTTAATTTTAATTTGTTTTTCTACAAATCCAAATCATATGAGATTTTAGGCGTGCATTCTTCTCATCAAGGAACACCTAATAAAAACATTAAAAAACTAATTCGCAATATATAAATTGACCAAATTACACCTGAAAAGTTATAGGGATATTTTGGTCAATTTATTTCTCACAAAATATTTTTTTGATATTTTTATTGGATTCTCCAATTTTTAAAAACACACATCCAAAATTTCAAGTGATTTGGATTTATATAAAAAAAAATTCAAATTCAAATACAAAATGCAATCGTGATTATTGGATCGGCCTAGATTGAATGTGGGTCTGGGCCGTTAGGCTCATATGTAGTTATTAGCCCACGGGTTAACTGCTACAGTGTCAGCCAACGGGCCCAGATTGAATCTTGGCTGATCTGAAGGTTACCACCTCATTTCGTATTTGAATTTTCATTTTTTTTCTACAAATCCAAATCACTTGAAATTTTAGGCCTTCATTCTTCACATCAAGACACACCTAATAAAAATATAATTCGTAAAATATAAATTGATCAAAAACATTTTAGGGATATTTTTGGTCAATTTATATTTTTCAAATTGTTTTTTTTATATTTTTATTATATTCTTCTATTTTTGAAGAATAGATGCTCAAATTTCAAGTAATTTGGATTTGTAGAAAAAAAATAAAAATTCAAATACGAAATGAGGTCGTGACCATTGGATCGGGTCTATATTCAATCTGGACCGTTGGCTGACACTCTAGTTGTTGGCCCGTAAGCTGACAGAATCCTTTCCCACACATATATATATATATATATATATATATTTCTATACATTGGTGATTATTATAAACAGAAGCATTTGATAATTTATATTTAATAAATAATCTACTTCCATCTGCTGTATTTAATATTTGAGTAGTTTTGTCAAAGTATTTTGAAGGTACAAGTCCTTCATTGATACAGTTTAAGTCAGCCCCGGAATCTTTTAAAGCTGATGTTTCAAAACTATAATCTGGAGCAACTATTATTTTAACATAGACAAACCATTTTTGGACTACTATTTTGTCTATTAAATTTACCGAAGGAGAAAGTAGTTCTTTAGCTTCTGAGGATTCAGGGATGTCTGATGATGGATTAATTTTTATTAATTCATCGAAATCTATTTCATCTGTATCTGATTCTTGTTGTGACATTTGTTGTAATTCTAATGATTTTATTCTAATATTTAATTGAACTATTTCAGTTTTGATTTCTTTGATTTCTTGTTTAAGATCTGAAATGGTTGGTTCTTTTTGTTGAGAAGTATGTTGATCATTTACTCTTTTCATTATTGAAGCAAAATTATATTCATCAGGGGTTTTATTAAGAGGAATTGATTTTGCTTTATTTTTTGTAATATTAATGAATTGAGTGATAATAGATCTTTTCTCATTTGGATCAACAATCTTATCAATAAATATTAGAGTGTTGACAGCATCACTCTCTGTATATATTATTTCTTGGTTTTGTTCATTTCTGGCTGTCCATTGCCTAGTATTATTAAGGATTCGGTGTTTGGTGTCATCATCGACATAGAAATCCCACCATCCTCTTAACCAGCCAGTAAATCCATTAACAATGGCTTTTGCAACCTCTTGATCAGGATTGCCTGCCATTTTATTTGCAGCTGCATACATAGTCATATGTCTCATAACATCCAATATTTTTAATTCTGACAAACCATCTATTTACACTTTGTAGGAAGCACAGCTTTACTTGCAGCAAGATCAGAAGATCTGCTATCTAATCTACGCTGTCCTACCCTATCTCATTATAAATGGTATAAAGATGTATTTTTCTCAAGATTATTAATAAGAGAAGATTGTCAGCTAGACCTCACTGGAAAGAAAAATTCATAGCTGGTCTACCATATTTGTTTGCTGAAAAGGTCAAAGAAAGACTAAGGAAAAAACATAATGGAATTATTGTTTATTCATCATATACATTAGGAGAACTCTCCGCAGAAATATGTGCTGAAGGTTTAGCCTTATGCACAGATATGAAATTAAAAAGACAATTGGATAAACAAAAACTCACTAAGAGAAAAGAACTTAGGTGATTTTTGCGAACAATTTGGATATTACCTAGATAAAAACAATATGACTGACAAGCTCTATAAGAAGAAGAAAAAATATAAAAAGGAAAAATACAAAAATAAAAATAAAGATAAAGACAGAAAAAATTATAAACAATCTAAAAGGAAGTTAATTAATAAATTTTCTCCCAATAGCAAGAAAAAGAGAAAATTACCTGTTTGTTATAAGTGTGGTAAAGTAGGACATTATAAACACCAGTGTAAAGTAAAAAAGAAAATAGAATCATTAAA